ATCCGCAACCAGTGGACGTTAGAAAACTTACTTTAGTTGTGAAGTGACCTAAAACATGTCGCTGGCGCCAATTCCGTGGATTTCCAATAACCACATCTTGTGGACTCCAGATAGCCGATTAATGTTAATGCGAATTGCGGATATATACAATATCGTTCAGATTTGTTCTCCGTAGACAGTTTGATATAACCCATTTCGGAAATCAAAAATACCGTTCTGAATACTTATTAAAATTGTCATTAAATACAATTTTTGGGAGGTAAGAGTCTTCAAACGCTATGTGATAACAATCAAAATGTTCGACATTTATTATTATTTTTTTATTATTCAATAATTTGTTAGCAATAATAACAATATGGTGATTCGAAATATTCGTTACAAGATCGTTATTTAAAAGATACGTGATTTAAAGGCATCCCGCAGCTGCTCCATAACCTTGTCCGAAGCTGTTGCCATAGCCATAACCGTAAGAAGGAATAATATTACTGCCATAACCATATGATCTAGCACCATAAGATCCAACACCATATGAACCGGCACCGGTATATGCAGCACCAACAGTTGAGGTTACTACGGGGGTAGTAACGGCAGTAACGACCGGTGTGGTAACGGCAGTAGTTACAGGAGCCACAGCAGCACCGTAACCATAAGATCCAACACCATACGAGCCAGCACCATATGAACCAACACCATACGATCCGGCACCGTAAGATCCAGCTCCATATGAACCGCTGGGAACTAGAGTCACCTTGACAACTTAAACATTATTGACATAGCTGGGACCATAACCGCCATAATTGCCACCATAACCATAACTTCCGCCGCCATATCCAGCACTATAGCCTCCACCATAACTTCCACCATATCCAGCGCTATAGCCGCCAGCATACCCTCCTGCCAAAGGTACACTAGCAATTACATCAAATGTGGCCTGTGCAGGTGCCAACAAGGCAACAACCAAAGAAAGGACGCAAACGAAGAATTTCATTTTTAAAATATGGTGTAGTTTTAAAATCTATATCTCTCCTCAGGATTCCGCTATGTTCTTCCAATGATGGAACGTAAACGACTAATGGCATTAATGGAATATAAGGATGATTTTATAGTACAAACTAATGCTTTTTCATATGGCTTGACAATAAGGAATCATTGTTTCAAGTAATTTTTTTTGTTTCGTTTGCAGTTTGTCCACGATAGTTAAACTTTAGTTGTATGCATCCGTTAAATTAAGTAGGTACGCAGTTCGCAATTGTTGTTTATTTTTGTAGTTAAGTAAAGTATTGAAACATAAAAATTCGCACCTTAACTTTCAATTCATAATCTATTTGCCATGATGGCTAAAAAGTTGTACGTTTGTAACTTATAAGTGGAAACAAGATTTAAAAATGTGCATTCAATCAATTTCTGAGTCAATTCATACATGTCATTTACATTGCAATCAAAGTACAGGTCAGATTTATAATCCGAATGAGATGAAATTTGGCTCAGCCCATTTAATGAGACCAAAGACGAAACCAATTGAAATTGAAAATTGATTTTTTTTATTTACCAGAAATTTAGCATAGCGTAATGAATTGAATCAAGAATGGTGTGTGCTAAGTTTTGAAATCGAGCCAGATATAGATTTAACTTTTATATATGAATGTACATACATTTTCGATCGATTTCGATCTATATGTAAAATACCCAATATGTTCGATTGTGATGAAATTTTGCACGGCGTAGCTATCTGAGCCTATAATACCGTGTATTAAGTTTCCTTTAACTTGCTTCAGATTTATAAATTTATATATTTTCGCCCGATTTTATGTAACTTATGCACCAAATATTCCGATATAGATGAAATTTTGGACGAAGCATACCAAATCGCGTGTGAAAGGTTTGCTTCAAAATGTATAGATCTTCTTCCTTACTATGCTCAACTGACATGACATTCACCATAGATTGAAGAATTTACATCTGTATGGATTGATTAACATCGGTTCACACATACATATAAGCAATTTTGCCAATTTGTATACCCTACACAACTATGTTGTCAGGGTATTATAGCTTTGTGCAGCCCCAAAAGTTTGTAACGTCGCGAAATATTGGTCCTGGACCCGCCTTTAAGTATACCGATCGTCATATCTCGACTAACTGAGTCGATCTAGAAATGTGTGTCCGTCCGTCCGTCTGTCCATTATAATTTGTAAACACGATACAGGCCACAGTTATGGACCAATCTTCATAATTTTGTGTAAAAAATTACCAAAGATGTATTCTATAGCATATATATTTACTCCTGAAGGACATAGACCAGAGAAATTTATAGTATATCCAAGAGGAGTTGTTGGCCTTTAAATTGATACCAGTTATATTGTCGTATGTGCTCGGATATGAGAGTTACACTTAAATATTTACAGGTGCTTACGTATTCCGTAACCCATTACCACACTGTATGGCGGAAATATAGTGCTAATCGCTTTAAAAATTTCCATGAGGTTCCGGTTATGGTCAAGGACAACGTGTTGATGATCAGATAATAATTTTGGGATGAAGTGGACAGAAACTTATTTTTATTGTGTTTTTTTTTTCAAGTCATTCTGTGTAAAATGAAAAAGTTGGCATGGCATAGGAGCTATTGACCTCTAATCGGTTAAGACGGTGCAAATATCGCGGAATATTGACAATTCTTAGAATATAGATCTGCAGAAAGTTAGAGTTCCGTGGTAGTTGTGTAGGGTATCATATGGTCGCCCCGGTCCGACTATACTGCTCCGCTCACCGGTTTAATATTCCATTTTCAAAAAAAAATTGTGTTTTTTATTTTTTGTTTTCGTAATATGTCAATGATATTTGGTACAAATATAAGGAAAAATTCCCTGACTCCGTTCGCGATCAAATTTTTGGATGATGCGCGCAAATGTTATCGAGGTTTCAATTTTGTGTATAAGAAACAAATCTTAAAATACAACGGCAACAAAACAAGATATTGAGGAAAATTATTTGTTTTTGGTTCGAAGAAATAATGGTTCTATAATAGGAATAAATCTTAAAATAAAACTATATTATGAAATATTCATTTTAAATTGAGTCTAAATCGCGTAACCCCCAAAATCATTTGATGCGCATGCGGTTTCCAGGAAATACTGAAGATTATCTTCCGATCCACGTATATTTTTCATTTTACGGCTAAAATGTACTATAATTTCCGAAAAGTCCATATGCTTTTAACGCGCATCCGATTTCGGTGTGCACCTTAAAAATACATTTATCTATATCTATTTCAATCCGGTCCATAAAGAACCATGATGCGGTAGCTCTGACTATTTGTGACATAATTTGGGTACATCTCCCTTTCTCCCTGAAGTTTTTAAAGTACTGTTTTCGCAAAAGTTCAAACTCCGTATCAGGTCATTTATTGAAACGGAAATAATCCACAAAAAAAGCTTACTGATCGCGGATAATCATATGAAATATATATCAAATTGTTCAGCTTCGCGAGTACAACAATGCTAAAATTAATTTTTGGAAATTCGTGATTGGCATTGAAACTAAACGAAAATTAAAAAAAAAAACTCAAAATGTCAGCATCATTCAAAGGTAGAGGCTGGGTTGGGTTGCCTCACCCTGTTTTTACCCATTTTTATACACTTTAGCACACTGTGGTACAGGGTATTGTCTTTGTGCATATGTTTGTAACAGGCAAAAGGAATCGAGATAGACCCATCCCTTTGAGAATATGCATAGAATCACATTCTGAGTCGATTTATGCATGTCCATCCAAGTATTTTTTTGAACAAAATATAGGTCACATTTATGATCCGATTTGGATGAAATTTGGCACATGTCACTTATTTGGCCCAAGGGCGAACCCTATTAAAAATCGAAAATCATAGTTTCGTCCGATTTTAAGTAAATGGAGCACCATACTGTCAATATTGGTCCGATTGAGACAACAATTTGTACAGAGTACTGAATTAGGTCCAGATTGATGTATGCGAAGTTTTTTTTTGGAATCGGTTCTGATTCCATAAACAGCTTCGTCCGATTTTATAGCTCCCATATATATATATATATATATATATATATATGTTCGTTCGAATATATGTAAATGGAGCACCATATTGCCAATATTTTGGAGGAGCCTATGTCTGATCGCTTTACATGAAATATTGCATATCGTATTGGATTGCAGACGTTTCAGGTTTAGATATAGCTTCCACATATATTTTCATCCGATTTCATCAAAATGATGTACCAAGTAACTAAAGTTTGTCAAATATCTATGTACGCAGGTGATTTCGTCCGATTCCATTTCAATGGTCCTCCAAATATGATATGTCTATTCTATCTAAATGATATTGTACATACAAGCATTTCTTGTATGTACCCAAAGTGGTGATGGGTATCATATAGTTGGCCCCGTCCGACTTTTGAACTTTCCTTACTGGTTTTACATTAAAGTAGACACATCATCCACATAAATAAACTTTGGAGGTCAATATCATAAAAAGTTTGCAACGCAATTCCGGAGTTATGAAGGGATGAACCTCGGTTTCAGGTTGGGATCGTAGACACTAAGAACTTTTATAGATTGGTTGATTAAGGGTCACCAATTCCGTGGATTTCCAATAACAGCAACCCGTAGACGTTAAGGAGGTAACTTTAGTTAGGTAGAATTCTTAGATATAATGATTTTCAGGGGCGTAAATTCCGTCTCCACAATCTTGAGATCATACGCAGTCAGTAATTTCCTCCGAGGTTTCCCCCAAGACCATATTTAATTAGACTGATTTTTTAATGCTACCTGCATACGAATCCAATAGTATTCCAACCACTTTGGAATGCACACAATTTTAGAGTGGGAAAAATACCTCAAACGCGATTAGACATTAATCAAAAACAGAATTTATCGACATTTATGATTAGTTTTTTATTATTTAACAATTTGTTAATCATAACAACAATTAAAAAAACTAGAAATATTTGTTAAAAAATAAAAATCGATTCGTTATTTAAAAGCATCCAGCAGCAGCTCCATAACCTTGTCCGAAGCTGTTGCCATAGCCTGCGCCATAACCATAAGAAGGAATAATATTACTGCCATAACCATATGATCCAGCACCATAAGATCCAACACCATATGAACCGGCATATGCAGCGCCAACAGTTGAGGTAACGACGGGGGTAGTAACAGCAGTAACGACCGGTGTGGTGACGGCAGCAGTCACAGGAGCCACAGCAGCACCATAACCATAAGATCCAACACCATACGAACCAGCACCATATGAACCTGCACTATATGAACCAACACCATACGATCCGGCACCATAAGATCCAGCTCCATATGAGCCACTTGGAACTACAGTCACCTTGACGACTTTAACGTTATTGCCATAACTGGGACTATAACCACCATAATTTCCACCGTAACCATAACCACCGCCATATCCAGCACCATAGCCTCCACCATATCCAGCACTATAACCTCCACCATATCCAGCACTATAGCCGCCAGCATACCCTCCTGCAGAAGGTACACTAGCAATTACATCAAATGTGGCCTGTGAAGGTGCCAACAAGGCAACAACCAAAGAAAGAACGCAAACGAAGAATTTCATTTTGAAAATAAGGTATAGTTTTAAAATCTATATCTCTCCTTTGGATTCCGCTATGTTCTTCCAATGATGGAACTCAAACGACTAATGACATTAATGGAACATTAGTATGATTTTATAGTACAAACTAATGTTTATCCATATGCGTTGACAATAAGGAAGCATTGTTCCAAACTACATTTGTTAAAAATTACTTTAACACATCCGTTTGTACAAATACACAAATGTTGTTTAATTTTGTGGTTAAATAAAATATTGAAACATTAAAATTCGCACTTTAACATTTAATTCATAATCACTGTGCCATGATGGCTTATATTTTCTGCCATACTGTGGAATACAGTCGTTGGCCTAATATTCCTCTCCAAATTCAAAAAACACGCTTGTTGTTGGTCCTTGAAGAAAGTTTTTTCAAAAAGCAACGCTTGTTCTGAGTTATTTAAAAATATCAAAATCCAATCTGTTTTTGTCCCTTTAAAATATATGTATATATATTAAAAAATCTTTCTCCAAAATCCCGGAATGCTAAATTACTGGCGCTTTGGTGTAGGGGAGGGGGTTTTGCGGAATATCGAGGGGGGTTACCATTATATGCGGAATATCGAGGTATCATAAACCGAAAGATATAAAACATTCACCATCCTAAAAAAAATTTTAAAAATCTATATTCCTAAAAAAATATGCTCCTCTAAATAACATTGTTTAAAAAAAACGCACTCCATATAAAAATATTTATTTCTATTTTCTTT